AATAGGGTTTTGTCAAGGCAAGTGGAATGTGGCAGAGGTTGCCTGGCTAACTGTACTTCCAAATTCACATGGAACCCAGAAGAGTCTCGCAAACGAGTTCTTCTAACACTGCTGGCATCCCCACCCCTCGAAAATATTTTATTTATTTTTTTTTTTGGGGGGGGGGCGGGGGGACGTGAGGGGGGGGGGGTGCGGCGTGGAATCCCGCTTTGGGAGGTCCCAGCGGAAATTAGAAAAACACACCTGGGAGAGTTTCGTGTCGGGGGGCTAACCCCCTTCATTTCTGATTGCTCTTGCAGACCTGGAGAGGGGGGGGTGCCCATTGTGGCATTTTCTGTAGATAAAAACACCTCACCCCAAATGGAAAGGAGGGGTGGGGGAATCGGGTGTGGAAATCTCTCCTGGCCTCATGAAATTTGGCTGGGGGGAGGTTCCCTCGGCCAGGGACTAAATGGAGGTCAGAAAATGAACGCGCGAAGCGGTAGTGGTCTAGTGGCACAGGGGTTCCATCTCAATCAGAGGGCACTGTTTGGGTCTCTGAGGGCAAACTTTGGGAACTTGGATCTTGGGCGCCCACGCCCAAGGCAAATCGACCTTTGTTTGTTTTGAGTTTCGTATGGCGCATTTTGAGTCAAGGTTGGGGCAAGTGAGGTACTCAGCATTTGGAAGTGGCCGTTTTAGGTGGGCATTGTTCGAAGCAAGTATTTGGTTGAGAAGGACCTACAGGTTGGAATTAAAGCAATTCGAATTCATTGCAGAAAATAGGACGAAACAGAACAGAAGGACGCCCCTCCGCTTTTTGCGAAAAGCATCGTTTCGTAGGGCTCTTTCGTAAGGCCACGCTGGTGCTGGACACAGCGCTTGGAAGCTTTACGAATGCTCGGGGCGCCTGGCTGAAATCTTCTAGGTTGGCTGCATGGTACCGTGAGTAGCTCAGGGTTTACAGTGGTAAGGATAGGTTGCTCACCATTTAGCATACCATTGGAATAGCGCATATCAAACAATGGTTTGGAGGGAGGTCAGCTCCCGGACCATACTCAGGTGGGTTTAAAGAGAAACCTTTGAGGTCGATCTAACCGCTTGATACTGAATTGGAACGGCCATCAGGGGCAAATCCGCCCCAAGCAAACAACTACGCATCATGGAGTACGGGTTCGCACTAGCCACCTGTCTAAACATGAATAATGATTGAACAGTTGTTTGACCCAATCTACACAACCCTGAACCACAAGGTCAAAAGGTCAAACAGACCACAACTCCCAAAGTGTAAGCAATATATTCGGCCTTTAATAAGTCACCACATCTGATCCGGTCGATGGCACCAGGTCATGGGAACAAAAACAACTGGTCAGATCAAAAGCGTCGCACCAAAAATTGTGGGGCAAGGCCTCCCAACGGGTGATCACCTTTTTAACCAGGTCCAGTGTGCTACTGTAAGTTTTCGTGGGTTTCCGCCAGTTCCGGGAATTGTATCATTGTAAAACCCCAAACACTTCCTGGGTGAACGGGGGACAAATGTGGGGATTGGGGTTCGATGATTGACAAATCTCTGGTTGATGTATAAGTGATGTCCCATTTCAGGAAACATCGCAGTGTTGATCCGCAAGGCTCCTGAATCCGGCCGACACTAGGGAAATCTAAAACACTGTTAGTGGTCAGGGGAAAGGCCAAGGAATATGATTATGAATCTGCTTGGCTTTGTGGTATGCGGGGGCTTTGGCGTCAAAGTGGACTCTACAACTTTCGGATTGAACTTTCAGATTGGCCGCTTTTGTTTGATCCGTGAATCTTCCTTTCCCGTTTGTGCTGTTGGCTCCTTCTTCATCTGTTTTGCAGCCGCGGCTCAACACAGTGCCCAATGGTTCCGTCCTTGCGGGGAAGACTGGCACCGTGGAATGGGTGGGGTGATGTTTTCGTGCATTTTGAGGTGATCAAAAGGGTGTCATACAGAATGAAGAGAAGAGAGACAGTGCAGCCTCCAGCTTCAGACAAGCAGCAGTGCCTGAACAGGTCTTGCTCTTCAGACTTTGGGCATCGACTTGGTTCAATTTCACTCCCCAGAAAGACATTTTGCCGGGAAGATCATCATTTTGCCAGGTTTGTTCAACCAGTAGCTGTTGCAGTGGGCAATTCGGATTCTGAGGTCGAGGTCTTCGCTTTCTCGGCGCTCGGGACGCAGTCGCTCCCGGCAAGCGGTGCGCTCAGCGACGTGAGCGCCCAGGCGGGGACACCTTGCACTTTCTGCGAGGGAATCCGCAGAATCTCCTTTAAAGTGACAAAGTCGTTGGGAATGGCCTTGGGTAAATGACAACATCCGCTCCAACATCAACAAGAAGACCACATCCCCCACGCTGCACGACTTGCTGTGGGCTCGAGGGCAACTCTTGGAGGAAGACCTCACCCTTTTCAAGTCGGATGTCAGTAAGGCTCACTGCCGAATCAAGATACGGAGCCAAGATTGGAAATATATGATCACGACCATGAAGAACCTGTTTTGGGTCAACCAGGTGGGCACCTATGGGGTCAGCCTAGTTCTACTGGAGTAGGCTGTCCCACTAGCACGGCTCACGTACCACCTCTCGGAGGAGTAATTGTGGGCCTTCATGCTCCTCCTGCGCAAGCTGGTGGGACTCGAGGCAGCGGGTGTCTTCCTGTTGTTCCTCTCCCTTGTTGGATGCCCCATCTCTTGGCACAAGAATGCGTTGGGCTCCCAGAACCTGTGGCTAGGTTATCAAGTGCACATGAAGAAGGGCACGGCCCGGCTGCCGAAGGAGAAGCTCGCATAAGCTCCAGCCGATGCTGGTAAGGCTACAATCGGGCGAGCTCCACACGAGGCCACAGGTGACGTCCCTGCTTGGCCTTCTCCAATGGGTGGCAAAAGTTTTTTTTTCACATTGTCACCACACCTTCATCCTGTCTCCGAGGCACCAACCAAGGCGACTCCACGGACCGTGGGCACGTCCACTATCAACCGAGAGACCTTTTCGGACAGGATTGGACCTCTTCTACTGGGGGCCCTCCTGGACTTTCAGTTGCTCCACTGATGTCGGGTTTTTCTTCGCAACCCCAGAAAACCTGGGCTGGCCTTATTTTTGACCCTCACTAGGTATCCGGGGTAAAATTTAACACGGATATGTGCGGGAAAGGGGGTATGAGAATACTCTTAGTCCGATGAGGGTCGGATGATGTTCCCGCAGGATGATGTTCCCGGAAGAGCCTGCAAAACAGCAGCTGGGAAGCATTAGATTGAAACAAACATTCAATCAGCTGGTCCATTTAAGGACCCCAAATAATATGGCGGCTTGTCAAGAGCAATATGGAACCCTTTTGGACTAGGACGCTTTCGAAGATGAGCTCACCAACCAATCCCCATCCCCTACTGCAAGAATGTCACTGTGTGTCAGGATCTATTTGCAACTTTATTTTTTCAAGAAGAACACTTGTTTTTTGATCGGGCGTTGACATCCCCTCTAAACAGCAAGAGCATCGGAGAATACTGGGGTAGACTCTGCACAATCCCGGAGTTTGCTTTTGGGGCCCCAGGAGTTCCACGAGTTCCACTGCATTGTCGGACCCAGTCGGTGGATCCGTATTACAAATTTAGTAGGCATTGCGCCAGGTTAAAGGGTGGTTTTGCTTGGTTGCCTACTATACAAACAAATGGAACAGGGGTACCCCTCATTGCCCTGGCAAGCAAGTCCAGTTGTCCCTTGTTTCCCAAAGGCGCCCTTCCGCTGCCTTCCGGCTTGCACGTGAAGGTTCGCGGCGGACTTGGTTTGCCGGCTAGCCGATAGACAAAGATTCTGCCAGGTGCAGTCTCTGACCTTCCTGGACCAAGACCTTGATGAGCTCGAGCTGGGGGGCCGCGTGCTTTGGCAGGCACGGCCCGGGCCCCTCCATGATGGACAGAGTGAAGGGTTTTGGGCGTGTAGGGTTTGAGCCTGCACAAATTGACTCTAAACTCGCGGCGCGGCCTGCGTTGCCGTGGGTTTTGTTTTCGAGGACTTGTGTAGGGTTGGGAGCCCCAATGTTTTGGAACCTTATCCCCTTATTCGGGCCAATGCTGTGCTCAGCATCTTACAGTCTTACATCTTCGCCCTGGACTACTGTGACGTGAAACGAAAATATTCAATTCCTGGGCTGTTGGCTATACACCAGCTATATAAGTTTCAGGTAAATGTATAGATTGGAGCCGCAATAGGGATACACCGTTTGATCATGGTCAGCCCAGAAGCCGTCCATCCGCTGTTCCTTAGGCGCAGGGGAGTTCAATCCAGCTTTCAACAGCCCATGAAAGAGGCACCTGATGAAGGTTCTCCTCCTCATTTTAGCTTGGGGTTGAAAGCACAATTCGCCCGGACTTTCAGTAAGGTCAACAGCAAGGATATTGGATTTGATCAAGGTCGTTCCTTTAGGAAACCACCGACAGTTCCCTGGTTTGCTGAATGATCTAGCTGTGAACCGGACCTGTCCGTAGGAGCCCGCAGATGTCTCGCGAGTCCAAGCCTACGATCTGGCGCTGTCCAACAACTTTGACGTCGAGGCTCGTTTCGCCCGTCAACCCGTTGTGTTTAGAGACGGGGACTTGAACTTGGTGCTAGCAGCCCATGCAGTATGCTGTTTGCCACAAACAACCACAACAATAATCATGGCTACCGGTTACCAAGTACCCCACTTATAATCGGACCCCTAGACATGGCAGATGTGTTTAGCAGAATCGAAGCGGCAGGGGACGCATTTGCAACCCCACCCCTCCCACGTCCTCCAACAATTGTGGAACGCCATGCGGGTTTGTCCAAAACGGGGGACGCCCTTTTGGGTGTCTTTGGTTTCATAGAAACCAACCACTAGCAAGCCTATTTTCGTGATGTGTGTGTCTGTGTGTTGATGCAGGTCTAGTTGGTGGCTTGGATGGGTGGTTTGGAGATTGAGATTTTGCCCCCTGGCTAACTCTTGTAGAGGAAACCGGGCGACCACCGCCTCCAAATCACAAACTCAATCCACCGATTCTCGGGAAGCAGATTAAAATTTTGTGGGGGCTTCACAGAGCAGCGTATTTGGCTAGCATGCCCCTGGGTGGAAAGCTGACACTGAAAGTTCGCAGATAGCCCTTATGTCCACTTGCGGCTGCTGGCGAGAGGGTGTCACCAACTTACGACATCCTTGACTGCCATTTGCTGAAAGCATTGAACCACGCGCAACACAGTTGGGACATAGAAAAAGTTCAAGGGATGCAGAAGCTTAAGACAACACACGGCGCATTGGTTCGTTGCATTTCATTGTGTGTCTTGCACTTTCAGCAAAACTCCATCCAGATTTTGTCTTGCAACCTGTCAAACAGGTCCCTTCTTCATGCACGTAATTGCTTTAAACGCATAGACATTGGCTCTAGAGTCTGATTCAGGAGTTCGGCAGCTGTGGGTTCCTTTCAGACTCGTCCTCATGTTCGGCAAGTACCAAACACGGAGCAAACTGAGTCAACAACTAGAACCAGTATGAGTACCCAACAGTGGAAAGGGCTGCAAAAGCTTTTCAATTTATGGGGTAGAGCAATCATCAATGCGTGTTGGCCGCTGGGCGTATGATGCCAAAGCGTCAGCTTCAAGGTTCCTTTTTCCCCAAACAGCGAAGCATTGGGGTTCTAACTTGAGGTATAGAGAATGGGAAAGTGTGACGCCGGTTCCGGGGTCCTGTTTTCCGCTTGTCTTCCTGTCTCCCAGTCTCTCCGGTCAGATGCCAGATGCTGTGACGCTGGCTCCAGGGTCGTGTCTCCCGCTTGTCTCCCTGTGTCTCCCAGTCTCTGCGTCTGCGGTAAGATGCGAGATGCTCGGCTGCGAGATGCTCACCCTGTGTCTCCCAGCTTGTCTCCCTATCCCAGTCTCTGCGGTCAGATGCGAGATGCTGTGACGCCGGCTCCGGGGTTGTGTCTCCCGCTTGTCTCCCTGTGTCTCCCAGCTTGTCTCCCTGTGTCTCCCCGCTGTGTCTCCCAGCTTGTCTCCCTGTCCCAGTCTCTGCGGTCAGAGGCGAGAGGCTGTGACGCCGGCTCCGGGGTTGTGTCTCCCGCTTGTCTCCCTGTGTCTCCCAGCTTGTCTCCCTGTGTCTCCCCGCTGTGTCTCCCAGCTTGTCTCCCTGTGTCTCCCAGCTTGTCTCCCTGTGTCTACCAGCTTGTCTCCCTGTGTCTCCCAGTCTCTGCGGTCAGATGCCACGTGCTGTGACGCTGGCTCCGGTGTCTCCCGCTTGTGGGAGTCGTCCAAAAGGTCCTTATATTCAGGTATGAAAGGGCAGACCTTTTTGTCTTAGTGCTTCGCGATGGATGTCGCAAACGTTATTATGTTTCTCGCGAAAGTTGGGTGTAAGGGTGGTTTGCCGGAAGGAAGGCACAATGCCATGTGTATATTTGCCAGGCGCAGAACGCACCAAGTTAGTCGGAGGTAAGCGCGGCCTGAGGATTGCCGCAAAAATGTGCCGCTACAAAGGCAACCCCCAGCAGAAAACAACTTGTTGGAGTTTGGAAGCTTTCGGGTCAAGTTGAGCGCAACTTGCCAAGCGGATTTTCGGAAATGTTTTGCGGAAGATCCGCGACAGCTGCGAAAGTCGGTGGACCTTGCCACCATGGGTGGGTCCCCTCCTGCCTGCGCTGCAGAAGTGCACTTCGTGTACCACTTTGGAACTGAAAGTGGCGACTTTCGAGCTGGGAACTTTTTCGACGGAATCTTACTTCGTGTATTGCTTTCGTACGGAAAAGTTGGGCCTTCAAGCCGAACTGCGGAAGTGTACCTTCGGGGAACAAGGAGTTTCAGACAACCGCCACGTGCCCACATCAACTTGCAGAATTCCAGTTGGGCATGTCCGAAATGGGAAGATGCCTCGAATTTCTATGCTTCTTCATTTTCCTTGACACTTGCTACCGCTATTCCAATCGCCACTTTTTTGGGCATGCTGTCAACCTCTGACTACAAAAGGTGGTATTCAAGTTGAAGACAGCCCAGGAGCAGAGCTACAGACTTGTGTAAATGGCGTCAGTGCCAATGGCAGGAAAAAGGGTGTAAAACCGAGTTTTTATATTTAGAGCAGGGAACGCCACTCGGACCTTTTGGCCACCAATGCATTCCTCGCGGTTGGAGGTGGTGGCGTCGGTCAACACTACAGAGGCCGAGGGACCTGTTGGGCTTCAACCCAAAACAGCGGCACAACTAGTTAAAAGACACCAAGCCCCTTTGCCCATCCTGTCGGCGAGTTGAGCCAGGGTGGACCCAAACCCATTTTAGATGTTGTCACTGAACAACTGGGCGGGTATTGCTTTCAAAAGCCTGACCCTGCCCAGGTCCAGGTGGGAGCGCAGCTGATAAAGCAGAACTCTGGTTGATTTTGATGCCCATGAAAGAGCAGATTCGGAGCAGCGCATACCTTTTTGGTACCGGCCCCCAAAACCTGCAGAATTCCTCTGCTAGGTTCATCTGCCGGGCTGTGTCGCTAGGGTAGGAACCAGGGGTTGTTTACACAACTCCTTTGCAAACAACCTTGTTGACTCCTTGAGTCGACCCTGGCAGATTGACGGGGGGGTTCGCTATGGAGATCGGACAGTTCCTTTGGGTTCCCTGGGTTGTGGTTGTGGGGTCAGTGCAGTTTTGCCCTTTCAGGCGGGGGCTGGCTGGGTCTACGTTCGCTGTTAGAAAACTCGCTTAGTGGAAATCGGCTGGGTGCTATGTTGCAAGTGAGGGTGCCCCTTGCCTCGGGTGCCCTTTGCCTCGGGTGCCCTTTGCTTTTGCCAACGATCTTGCCAGCCATCTTTTAATAGGGCCATGTGAATAGTAGAAAATGGCACCCCCAACAAAGAGCCGCCTTGTTGCCTGGCAATGTAAAAATGGGAACCATGGATCCACAGACCAATGATTGTGTGGGGGTAGAGGAGATCGTGACCCCACAAAGTGTTGTGACTTCAGCCGAAGTGAAAGTTCATATGTCTGTGATCCATTGTTTGCTCGTGAATTCCTCCCATACAACACCCTCAAGGGAATGGAGTCCAACCCAAGCCTTAGGATTTGTTTGGTTGCCTCAAGCATCCTGCATGTGTTTTTGGTATGTTCCTCGGTAGGTGTTGAATGGATCACAGGTGAATTGTGCGGATCGGGATAGGGGGCAGCAATTTCCCTACATGGGCGGCCTCATGAGCGTCGGGAAAAAGCAATGTAGGAACTTGTAGGGAAACACCATCCAGGTCTTGTAACTTGAAACAACTCCATTTTCCCAACCAGGGTTGCCTTTTACAGTGGACCCAAGGTTTCGGGAACATAAACTGACCCCTGTGAACGTGAAAGCCCTCCCAATCCAAGTTGTTGCAAGCGAATCGGTCAAAGGCAAGCTCTGTTCATGATCGCTCTTCACCAACTCTGGAATTCGTTTCCAAACGAGTGGAGCAAGCAGCGGGTTTTTATTGGTTCCCTTTAGGATGAGTCAAACGTCACCTTTGGACATATTTCAGGTATGACAAACTCGGCCTGACGTGTCCCCTTGTCCTGCGTTGCACGGACCGGCCATGGCGGCAGAGTGCATCGGTGCCAAGGAGGAGACGAGCGATGGCGTGAAGGCCCCTCCTCCCGTTATAGCTTAAATGGGATGTCCAAAAGTTCCAAAAACATGTTGGGCCATTATCGGGCCTGTTTCGTTTTGGTGAGTGTTTTGAGGGATTCCTAAAAGGAGCCCAGGTTTGTTTTTGGCGCCCTGCTTGGAAACACGGAAAGGAGGGCGTCTGGAGAAGGCCAGAAAATCCTCGCCCCTATGGACGGCTGGGTTTCTGAATCTTCCATTTACAGCCCTGAACTTTCCAGGCCTTCTGGATTCAGGCAAGGTCCCTTCCAACCTGCCTGCACGGGGTTGGGGAATCCTAGCCTGAAACTTTTCGATTTTGGGGTACCTTCGCAGGGAGGGGGCTTTGAATCGTGGGAAGGGCAGACATCACCAACTCAAAGTCCATGGATTAACAGCGTTGTCCGTAGTGAACACGGCATCCCATTTGTGGATAAATGATTCCCTCTCAACAGGTAGTGGTCACTGCTGCTCAGATTCACTTCTGTAGGACGCACACGAAGCAGATGATGCGCCAGAGGACGAATTTGAGGTGCGGGGGACAGAGTGGCCAAAGACGGTACAGGGATGGACATTCTCTAAATGCGCGCGGAAATCCTAAGGGACGCAGACATACACGCACAGACATGTATGCAGGCATGCATTTGATATGCGTGTTGATGTGTTCATTCGAATATATGTGCATGTCTCCCGCCCTGGGTGTTCGAGCTAGATCAGTTTTGGCTGATGAACCCTGATCGAGTTTCCAAGCCGTGTGTAAAATGCTTGTTGTGTTGCAGCAAGTAACAACTCGAGCATGCCAACTCACGTTCTTCAACAGTCTGAGGATCCTCCTGACTGCAGGTGGAGCTGTGTGTGTTCACATCTTCCAGCAGAACGTCCCGGCCGGCCCTAATCCTGCAACTCAAGAAGTGGGTCCTGCAGCTGCCTGCCTTTCAGCTGCTCACCGTGTACCCGCGCGATTGCAACCAGGTCGCTTCGGAGGCGGTCAGCCTCCTGCTTGGAAATGTGCCTGATGCCGTTGCGTGCTTGGCCTGCCCCAAAGTCCCATTGCATCTACGTCCTGTGCGTGGTGCCAGCGCAGGTATGTGCGCAGGTTGCGACTTTTCCTTGACCACGGCAGCTGCACGACCCCGGCGACTGCACAAAGGACAGGTTGTCGTCAGAGCGTCTGAGCACCAGCGTGAGTTCAATACCAGGCGACCAGCACAACCGTCACCAACTAGAGACGGCTCCGATCAAACCAACCGTGGCTTTCCTAAAGCCCGCAGTTGCTCGGCTATGGAGCCTCTTAAATAGGATAATGTTGGACTCTGTTTAGTGTGATCCCCCCCCCCTCCCCTGGAACAGTGGAACCAGTCGGCGGGACTCTCTTTAGGGAGATCCTGGGGGATCTGGGAGGGACAGTACTTACTTTAGTATTGCCAATTCTACTTTAGTATTGCCAAGGCTGACTCTCAGATCCCCGGTACTTACTTTAGTATTGCCAATTCTACTTTAGTATTGCCAAGGCTGACTCTCAGATCCCCAGTACTTACTTTAGTCTTGCCAATTCTGCTTTAGTATTGCCAAGGCTGACTCTCAGATCCCCAGTACTTACTTTAGTATTGCCAATTCTACTTTAGCATTGCCAAGGCTGACTCTCAGATCCCCAGTGCTTGCTTTAGTATTGCCAATTCTACTTTAGTATTGCCAAGGGTCGTTTTTTCAGCAACCCCCGAAACCAGTTGGACACTAAAGAGGACCCCAAAACAGTTGCATTAAAGAGGATCTGGGCCTCTTGTGGGCACCCCCCTTTGTGTGACTGTTTGCCCGCACTTTTGTGTAAAGAAGTTATCTTAAATTTGATGGTTTGGGAACAACTTGCAAAATCGATTTCCTAGATCTCAGGCCTTTAACCTTTGAGCTGGGGAGAGCTTAGGATGAGTCCCCTTCTTTAAAAGTAAAAGGCTGAGGCTTTGGTTTTCAGTTTTCAGCAACCCCGAAAGCACTGGACACTAAAGAGGACCCCAAAACAATCGCATTACAGAGGATCTGGGCCTCTTGTGGGCACCCCCCTTTGTGTGACTGTTTGCCCGCACTTTTTTGTAAAGAAGTTATCTTAAATTTGATGGTTTGGGGGCCACTTCAAGAAAACAAATTCCCAATTCTAGCTAGCTCAGAACCCGCCTCCAGCTCAACAGGAGCTACCAAGGCTTAGCAAGTTTAGCCTGAGCCCGAGCAAATCCAGAAAGCGAAGAAAAAAGCTATGCGTTTTTTTAGATTTTTCTGGGGGGGCAAAAAAACTTGCCACAATAGCGAACCGTTAAAACAGTCACAGGATTCTGAATTAGGAAAAAATTCTACAATACCGAGTACCAATAATCAAGGAGGTCCAACATTACCCTTTGGGCAAGTAGCATCAGGTCACCCTGGAATCGCTGCTGGCCGCCGCCCCCGGCTTTGCCCAGCGCGTCACCCTGGCGCTGTGCCTCAGCAATGCCTCCGACGCAGCCTGGAACCCCGGGCGGGGGTATCCAAGGGTGCCAGGGTTCCTGGGTTGGGCAAAATTTTGGAGGTGATGAAGTAAGAAAAGCTGTTTGAACATGTCTAGAAAGGCTGTCTTGGGTGGTTGGCGGTGCCTTGGTTTGGCGGTTGGCTCTTCACTGTTCTTGGGTTAGGTTGTTTGGCCGTGCCTGATACTTTTTGCTTGCTGCACCCACATATGGATGTCTTGGGCCCAGAGTTGCCAAGATGTGTTGGAACAGGTGTGGAGATGGCAAGTTCCGCAAGTTCGCAATAGAAATTACGTAGTTCGGATTGGATCGTTTGCCGGTTCACTGCATTTTCTGCAATGTGGCTGGCTGGGAGGCACGGTTTGTAATCCTTCGTTGTGTGTTGTACCACTAATCCGGTGTTTTAAAAAGGGGCCACGCTTTTTGCCAATGTTGCTTTTTTCACCAAGACTGAACTACTCCTTTTCTCTTTGTCTTTCTGAGCTTTCTTGATTAGCCGTTGCACAAGCAAACAAGTTGTCACTTGGGGGTTGGGCCAGTTTGTCGTTTTGGCTTTCAGGTTGAGACTTTGTCTCTGGGCTTCGCTCTGCCCTTCCTGCGCGGGCACCAAGAAAGGCTTGTGCGACTGCGCGTTGCAGCTGGGGCGCTGTGGAATGTTGAATGTTGATGTTGATGTTGATGTTGTTGTTGTTGTTGTTGTTGCTGCTGCTGCTGCTGCTGCTGCTGCTGCTCATGTTGTTGTTGTTCTTGTTCTTGTTCTTGTTGTTGTTGTTGTTGTTGTTGTTGTTGTTGTTGTGGTTGTGGTTGTGGTTGTGGTTGTGGTTGTGGTTGTGGTTGTGGTTGTGGTTGTGGTTGTTGTTGTTGTTGTTGTTGTTGTTGTTGTTGTTGTTGTTGTTGTTGTTGTTGTTGTTGTTGTTGTTGTTGTTGTTGTTGTTGTTGTTGTTGTTGTTGTTGTTGTTGTTGTTGTCGTTGTCGTTGTCGTTGTCGTTGTCGTTGTCGTTGTCGTTGTCGTTGTCGTTGTCGTTGTCGTTGTCGTTGTCGTTGTCGTTGTCGTTGTCGTTGTCGTTGTCGTTGTCGTTGTCGTTGTCGTTGTCGTTGTCGTTGTCGTTGTCGTTGTTGTTGTTGTTGTTGTTGTTGTGGTGGTGTTTCTTCCCTTCCCAACCACTCATTGTTTTTAAAGGCAGGCTACAGCGGCTTGCCGCTGGGGGCAAATTATTGGTGGCTTTCAGAGTTGACCCTACACGGGGGTAGCACACAGAATCTAACCACAGAGATGACACCGGCAAAAATGATTGAAGTCTGTCTTTGTGATAGTCTTGACCAGCACGTCTTTCGAGTTGTTCGGAGCTGGTTTCCGATCTTTATGATCGTAGTCAAGTCCCCTTTCGTAATGAACAATGTAGTGGTCGTGGTTGATGATGGTCCAACCATCAGATGTCAAGTGTATGTGCTCAAATGCCAGTGACCGCCCAGAGGGTCGTACTTGGGGCTATTGTGTCAACTCAGCAGCATAACGCATAGCAGTACCTCTCCCAGATGGCACCGAACATGAATATTTGTGATACAATGTCAGTGCATCATGTAAATACATCGGAATATGCTATATGTTCGTGGTACTCTGCGCATGCGAAAATGGAATGACAGCATGAAAATTGCATCATATCATAACGGTACGCGAGCGGCGAAGGCCACCGAACCTACTGAGTTGACAATTTCACATGTTGCGAGAATTAGCCAAAATCTCTGAGCAAGATCAAGAACGCAGACATGACAGCGCAAGCTGGAAATCCTAACAGTATCCATCAGCATTAGCCAAACAACACATGTTTCACACACTGTCTTGGCACTCCAATAGTTAATTTTGTCCATGATTGTGTTTTTCCATTGCAACCATGTCACTAGGCGCTTCGACGAACAGAGGGCCTGATGCTCACCTGTTGACGTTGAGTTTACTTTGCACCTTTGGTTGGTAGTCCGATCACCGTAAACAGGTTCTAGCAAACGGCTTCCAGCTTTCACTAGAGGACAACCCTGCGTGTAGGACCCTAGAACGCAATTGTTAGAGTCTATTTAGGATCACCCGAGAGATTTCCAAAAACCCACAGGCCCTTCGATTTCGTCAGGTCTTGGGATTGGCAGGGGCTGGTGGCCGCCAGTGTTTTCCTTGGGATGCTGGCCGGCGGTTGCCTGGCAGGCGGACGCCTCCCGAATGCGTAGCAGAAGGGTTCCCTTTTAAGAAGGGGGTCTGGGGGTCAGCGTGTGTTCGCCAGATGCGTCGCAGCAAGCGTTCGCAAGCGTCCGCGAGTGGAACGTAAGGCCGTGCCATTGGGGAAAGCGTTTAACACGTTGTTTGGATGACTTGAAGCGTGTCATTTTTCTGCCCCTGTGCGGGAATTGTAGCGTTTAAAGCTCGGCGTGTCGTTTCGCTGCGCAGGCGCAGTGTTTTGGAAGGCTGCTTGTTCTCGTTGCCGTGCCAGTGGGATTTGTGATCCAGGAGTGGTTGTTTTGAGGTGTCCTGCTTGGCAGGCGCGTGATAGTGTTTGCGCCGGCGCCGTTTTAGTTGGCCCTGTCGTACAATCGGCTCGTTTTCACGACTGCAGATTTGCAAGAAATCGGTCGAAATCATTCTGGGGCTACAGTCCCGCGCTAGTTCCCGCGCGCAGTGCGAGATGGTCAAAGTCTGATTTCGTGGCAGTCGCAGCATTTGGAGCGCAGCGCTTTAGAGCTTTTCGTGCGTATTTCGTGGCAGGCGCAGCGCTTTAGAGCTTTTCGTGTAGATTTCGTGGCAGGCACAGTACTGTCGATCTTGCACGCCGATGCCGTGGCAGGCGCAGCACTTTGGGTGGGTGCAAATTTTGAGAGCGCGAAGTGAACCCTCTGCGCACTTTGGGTGGTTGAATCGCCCTCGCTGTGGTGCGGTGCGCATTTTGAGCACATGCGAAGTGAACCCTCTGCGCACTTTGGGTGGGTCGAATCGCTCTCGCTGTCATTTGGAGACAGAAGTGTCGTTCAGAAGTGTCGATTATAGAAGTGTCGTTCAGAAGTGTCGATTAGAAGTGTCGTTCAGAAGTGTCGATCAGAAGTGTCGTTCAGAAGTGCCGTTCAGAAGTGTCGTTCAGAAGTGTTTATTAAAAGTGTTGCTCAGAAGTGTCGATCAGATGTGTTGCTCAGAAGTGTCGATTATAGAAGTATGGAGAGAGAGCGAGAGAGAGAAAGCGTGAAGAGAGTGAAGAGAGAGAGAGAGAAAGAGAGAGAGAGAGATAGAGAGACGATCAGAAGTGTCAATCTGAAGTTTTGTTCAGAAGTGTCGATCAGAGGTGTCGATCGCAAGTTTCGATCAGAAGTGTCGTTCAGTAGTGTTGATTAACACAAGAGACGTGGCAAGAGACGTGACAAGCTGCATTTCTCAGAAGTGTCGCTCAGAAGTGTCGATCAGAAGTGTCGACCAGAATCGTTCAGAAGTGCTCAGAAGTGTCGCGTCGCTCAGAAGTGTTAATCTGAAGTGTCGATCAGCAGTATCGATCAGAAGTGTTGCTCAGAAGTCTTGCTAAGAAGTGTCGCGTCGCTCAGAAGTGTGGCTCAGAAATGTCAAATAGAAGCGTTGCTCAGATGTCTCGATCAGAAGTGTCGATCGAAAGTTTTAATCAGAATTGTCGCTCGTGTCGCTCATGAAGCGTCGCTCAGAAGTGTCGATCAAAAGTGTTGCTCAGAAGTGTCGGCCAGAAGCGTTGGTCGGATCGAAGTGTTGCTCAGAAGTGTTGCTCAGAAGTGTCGATCAGAGGTGTTGCTCAGCAGTGTCGCTCAGCAGCGTCACTCAGAAGTGTCGCTCAGAGGTGTCGCTCAGATATGTGTGTGTAGAAGTGTCGCTCGAATCGTCGCTTAGGAGTGTCGCCCAGGGGTGTTGCTGATGTGCGTGTAGAAGTGCATGTGGCTCAGAAGTGTCGCTCAGAGGTGTTGTCCGCAGTGTTGCTCGGAAGAGTGTTGCTCAAAAGTGTCGCTCAGATATGTGTGTAGAGATGTTGCCCGAACTGTCGCTCAGGAGCGTCGCTCAGAAGCGTCGCTTACGTGTGTGTGTGTGAAGTGCAAAAGTGTCACTTGAAGTGTTAATAAGAAGTGTCGCTTATGTGTGTGTAGAGGGGTGTCGCTCAGTTTGCCGTAGTTCGTCGCTCGGAATTATGGCTTCAGGATTGGCGCTTGACGCTTAAATGTATCAATCAGAGGTGTCGCTTAGGAGCGTAATTCGAAATATCGCTTGAAAGTGTGTTCAGAAGTGTCGCCGTTGCTCAAGCTCTTGCTCAGAAGCGTCTCTCAAAAGTGTCAGAAGCAAAAGTCGCTTACGAGAGTGTTGCGTTGAAGAATATTTAGAGGTGTCTGTTGAACGGTCGGTCAGAAGCTCAAACGTCGCTCAAAACATGTCTGCAGCTGGACAACATTGCTCGAGTTGACGAAATGCGCATTCCCAAGGCCATCTTTTGCATTCGGGTACGTGGCTTCTATCAGGTTTTTTTGTCAGACGGCGTCAGTGAGATGTCTGGACGAAGACCAGTGGAACTAGTCCGAAAATCACTGTGTTAGAGCCTGCCCAAACCCGTCACCTGTCAAAGATCAACATTTTGGTGGCCAAGTTGATTTCGCCGGATTCGTTCAGATTCGGACCCCGAGATGGCGAAGTAGAGGTTTACATGAAGCATCGGTCCCCAAACATGACGTTTGTTTCTCCCCCTGTTTTGACATCGTGTTTTTTTCTCGGAACCTGTTGACACGGGCGTCCAACTAGATGTCTTTAGGGGGCCGGCAATTTTAAGACCAAGCTGAGCCTCAGGAGTCCAACTTGTGTTCAACCTAGTTTACAGATGTCTTGACGCCACTACCAGCATTCAGGCCCAGGACATTTTGTAAGAGGTTTGTTACTCCAGGTTGACACTAGAGGCTCAGACCTTGAATCCAGGCCCGAGTCAGCCACATTGGAGACATTTTGGAGCCCAAAAGTAACAAAATCAATATAAACAAAGTGCAATTCGGGAGGCAATGGCATCTGGATCCAATGACGCAAAAGTAAAATGGTAGAAAAGTAGAGAAGAAACACAGAGTAGAGCATAAGTAAAACAAAAACACACAAAACTAATACAGGAATAGCGCACACTAACACCGCAACATAGTTCAGCCCATGGTCAGAACATTTTACTTCAGGACCGTGGGTTGATTTATAATGTAGTACTGCTGAACTTGTTTCACGGTTTTACTTTTTAGCTCTTTTACTTTTGGGCCAGTGGCTCCAGAATGCTACTTGTTTACTTCTGTTTACTTTTGGGTCTGCCCGTCAGTCCTCAACTGTTTGGGGTTTCTGTTGGTGTAATTGTGTTTTAATAAGTAGAAATTACAACTGAAAAGAACGGAGAACATGTGCTGGGTTCAAAGCTGGTTTACCAGGCTAGGCTGACATCTGACTGCTGCCAACCTCAAGTGGTCTAATTTTGTGAGGTGCGGTTGGGATGGTCGGGGCTTGGGAGGGCTGGCACGGTCTAATTTTGTGAGGTGCGAAATGTTGATTTTTCGCACCTCACAAATCAAATAGCCACATGGACGGGGATGAGTCCAAGCCTCAATGTCCCCAGGGCCAGCCCCAGGACCAGCCCCAAGCCCTGGGGTTTGGGGCTGCGGGTCCTGGAAACCCATTTTTGGAAAATGAAGAGTTTCCTGAAAGGCGCAGAGTTCAATAGTTGTAAGCCACGCCTGTGTTTTCCATAGATTATTTACAATGTAAATGGAATTTAAATAAGGACCTACTTCTAGCAGTAGTTCACTTCCGCCTCCCGGCTTCGCCGGCTATACTGGTATATTTATGTATACAGTGAAGTATATATATGGTCACCCCCCCCCCCAGGGCCTACCTTTCTACTTTTTGCATGAAAGAGATTTATTTGCAGATGTTCAGTGTCCACTTGGTTTGCAGATGCCTTGCAGAAAGCACTGTAATTTACGGTGTTTTTGTGCATTGTTTGATATTGTCTCAGATGTGCTTTCTATACTTGATGCAAAACAGGATTCGAGAAAGCAACAAACACGAAAACGGAAAGCGTTTTCAGATGCAACTTTGTCAGTGTTAAAAACACTGTTATTTGCAGTGATTTTGAAGGAAACTGCAAAAAAGCACCTGTTTCTTACGTTTTTTGATGGTTTCAGCCTCAAAACCTGCACAGGCTCAAAAAATTGCAAAAAATCCAAACCTGGAAGCTCCAAAACCTGCACAGACTCAAAAAAATGCAAAAAATGCAAAACCCAGATACAATGTCAGAGGTCAGGGCTTGATTGGCCTGGACTTTTGCATTTGTTGCATTTTGTTTGAGCCTGTGCAGGTTTTGGAGCCTTGGATGTTTAAAACCTGCACAGGCTCAAAAAAATGCAAAAAATGCAAATCCCAGATGCAATGTCAGAGGTCAGGGCTTGATTGGTCTGGACTTTTGCATTTTTTGCATTTTTTGAGCCTATGCAGCCTTGGATGTTTAAAACCTGCACAGGCTCAAAAAAATGCAAAAAATCCAAACCTGGAAGCTCCAAAACCTGCACAGGCTCAAAAAAATGCAAAAAATGCAAAACCCAGATGCAATGTCAGAGGTCAGGGCTTGAGTGGTCTGGACTTTTGCATTTTTTGCATTTTTTGGAGCCTGTGCAGGTTTTGAGGCGTCCAGGTTTGGATTTTTTGCATTTTTTTGAGCCTGTGCAGGTTTTGGAGCCTTGGGTGCTTAAAACCTGCACAGGCTCAAAAAAATGCAAAAAATCCAAACCTGAAAGCTCCAAAACCTGCACAGGCTCAAGAAATGCAACAAATGCAAAACCCAGATGCAATGTCAGAGGTCAGGGCTTGATTGGTCTGGCTTTTTGCATTTTTTGCATTTTTTTGAGCCTGTGCAGGTTTTGGGGCTTCCAGGTTTGGATTTTTTGCATTTTTTGAGCCTGTGCAGGTTTGGGAGCCTTGGGCGCTTAAAACCTGCACAGGCTCCAAAAAATCACCAAAAAACACAAATCCTTTACTTGTTTCTGAAGAATGGAAGACAGATTGGATTGCTGAGCTTTTTCACAGAAGCATCGTGCTGCAAAACTTTCCAGAAGTTTCTATAAGCGTCTCGGGCCTACTGCTGCAAAGTCTGCAGCATATTGCCTGTGGCCTCCCACAGGTTGACACCCTTGTGCCAGTAAGCCCATTGGGCCGATCGAATTCGCCGGCTCAGGACGGCGCTCCCGGGGGTGCGGTTGACATTCTTCAAGTGGTTGCGCAAGAAGCCCCAAAACCGATCCACGATTTGCGTGCCCGATTTGACGCGGATCTTGTCACCGTCCGGGGTCTTCACGTCATAGATCTTCGTATAGTGGGGTTTGACCCACTTGACCTTGCCTTGCACGATGACTTTTTTCTTCTGGTGCACGACATTGCAATGGGCCACATTCGGCAGCTTCACCTTGTACGCCTTGGCACCATCCGTGTGGAGCACCACATGCTTGTTCGACAGGAATTTCCGCCCGATCGGCAGCCACTCCCGCTTCCTGATCGGCCCTGGTCCAGGCGCTCGCTTCTTCGTGAGGCGCGGCTTGAGCTTAAACAGCCGCAAAGAGCTCGGGCGTCCCCTCTCCACAAGCCCTCCCCACTGCTCCCATTTCACCACCCGATCAGCCCGAACTGCATCAGGATCTTCACCCTTACCCAAGTCCACCTCGTCAGCCTCCACATCCTTCCATTTCTGGGTGCCACCATAGGTGATGGACTTCTCTTTCTTCTGGACGTAGCGGGCCCTGGCGATATCGTTGTTGGCGTAGATCCTCTCCACTGCCTTGTGGTCGACATCCAAGACCAGGTGGGTAGCGTTCCGAGGTACACCAGCGACTGCACAGAACAAGATGGCGGCTTGTGTGGACAAAGAAGTAGTTGAGTTCCCGGCGCCAGCGTAGAAGATGGGGTGGAAGTCTTCGATGCGAATGCGAGCCTGGCACTTCTTTGCCCCACAGCGGTGCACCCACTGGCTTCGGTCCTTTCTGTACTCGAGCTTCCCCAAGACACCTTTCCCGCATTTGGGGCAGAGCTTCCCCTTCCACTCAGGAAGGATGCGGTCTTTCTTCAAGAGGTGGATCAGCCTGATGCCCTTCAAGGACAAGAAGTTCATGACCGATCTTCCCCACCTTTCCCTGTGAGGCCTGGACTTCATGGTCAGGGTGCCGTGGCGTACGTACGGAGTCTTGACCGCGTGAGCCTTCGTACTTGCTGGGCGCTTGTTGGCGCGCGCTTTGCCTCTCTTTGGCTCAGGCCAAGGCGCTTGACGCTTGACCGCACGCTTCATGACTTTTTTAGGCATGACGCTACAAAAACAAAGAGTGGCTACACTGACTCAGGGCCAAGATGCTGTCAGAATGAGCGTGCGCAGTGATGCAATACCTGGAGGCAAAAGCAGACAAGTGACAAATGCATCGGCCTTTTCGAACTTGCGCGCTTGCAAAACTGCTTTCCTATCTGGCACCGCGTCTACTCAGCCTCATCACCACTGTTACGCTGAAGGTCACCACCGTGGTCAAAGACATCTTCCTCAGACGCCACGTCCATCTCCTCGATCTCGGTCTCAGCGGGGAAAGCCGAAGCCGAAGCCTTGAGTTTCTTCTTGGGCGGACTCTCCAAGTCGATGACGGTGAGGTGCATGGCCGACAACTTACGGGCGAAGACGTTCGGCTCCTTTTTGATGAGTGCAGGCGCTGGAGGAGCGGAAAGTGCTGAAGTAGAGGATGGAGCAGGCTCTGCAGCAAGGGGCTGTGGCTGCTGATCAGGAACTCGCACCTGGAGGATGGTATTTGGTCCGCTGGATCCAAACAGCCTCCGCGATGCCGAGTAATCGATTTCCACTGGCCTTGGCGGCAGGTCACGACCCTTGTTCTCCATGATCGACGTCATCCAGGCTCGTTCCCAGCGAAGATGAAGGTCCAAGTCGGCCGGCGCGCTGCGATCACCCTTGCGGTACTGCATGTACTTCAAGCCTCCTGAGCTGCGCAACAAAGACTTACTTTCATCGAGGCGCTTGCGTTCGACCCTCACCTCTTTCTCACTAGGAAGACGCCAGTAGAGGAAGTCGTTCGTGATGAGCAAGACACACGTGCGCTTCATGACCGCCATGACGTCAGAGATTGACGAACCCTTCATCCACGCCGGCTCAACCATCTGCATGAACTGCTGGTGAGAAATGGAATACCCTGCGTTCTCGAAGGAGGGCTCTGCGGCGAGATCGATGTCGTTGGACATATAAAGACGCAGCTGGCCCTGCGGGAACTTTGCGGCGCCCCACCTTTCTTTTGTGAGGACCGTGTTGCCCACGTCGCAGAAGCCCTTCAACTTCCTCATGGGCTGTTCAGCCAGTGAGCCATCGTCAAAGATATCCGGACGATCTTGGCGACCAGCTTCACCTCTGAAGAAGTCGAACTCGCAGGCCTCGCGGAAGCCGGGCTCGTTCTTTGAGTTCAGTTTTTGAACCCAGTAGCGTGACATGGCCATCGCAATGGTGCGCCCAAGAGGCGTCTTGCCTACGTTGTGGACTCCATGCATGCCGCAGGCTTTGTCCGTGAAGCAAGGAAAGATTTCCTCCAACACAGTCAAAACCGAGGGCTCCACATCCACGAGCGTGAGGGGGAAGTCATAGACAGGGAGCGCCAAGACGCCGTCGTTCATGAGGTTCCGCAGAGCTTCTTTGATGAGCCGCTCCGGCCAAGTCTGAATGGGACTCTCGTCTGAGATGAACTGCTTCGAGATCCATCTCAGCTGCGTGTTGCTGTGGTGGGTTCTAGGCCCATGTGCCTCGATGAAGTCGAAGCCTTGGTCGATGTTCTCTTCTGTGAGGCCCTGGAAGAAGTTGTTGTTTTTGTTGTCGGACTGCATGCCACCGTTGCCACTTGCCTGAAGAGCAAAGGACTGGACCTGGAAGCCACCCATCTTCTCCAGCATGTACTGGATGGCCTTCTTGGTATTCTTGGCATTGGCTTGCCAGGAAACGGTATGAACTTCTCCATGACAAAGGGTGGAGACGAACTCAGCCTTAACTTGATCCGGGAAGATGATGTGCTTCAGGAGGAAGTGCTGCGCATTAGGAAGAGGAAGAACAACAAGTTGAAGACCATATGACATACCAGGAGAAGTCTTCAAGCGAAAGGGCGCTGGCATGTCCGCAAAGCGGCCATCCTTAGCCGCGCTGCTGACTTGAGATTGCAAAGTAGCATCGAAGGCTATAGGGCCAACAAAGTCGAAGAAGTGCTTTGCCTTGCTCTTGTCCTTGGGATGATCAAGAGGAAGGTCAGTAGGCGAGACAGGACCACGAGGCAAGTCCACGACATTGGGCTTGGACAAGTTCTTGAGGAAGAGCGCGTTGGTGGCATTCAGGGCCGTTTCGAGAGAGATTTCACTGGCTTCTGACATCATTGCTACAAGAAAAAAAGAGATACTTTGAATGACCTGGTTTGAGCTTCTAGCAGCAGAGTAATATATAAAGGAAACTGTGTCTAACATCAAAGAAAAATGTACATATTTATATATATATATATATATGCTCACCCCCTACTGTTGAAATTATCAGTTTTTCTAGACTGTGCAAGTGAAAAGGTAGGCCCTGGGGGGGGGGTGAGCATATATATATATATACACATAAATAAATAAATATGTGTAAACGTGCCAAGTGGCATGGACCCACCCACCTGTCTGCACAACTAACAAAGCCGGCGTCATTTTGTGTAATCGTGGGGAAGGTGAGGAGGGGGACACAGCCCAAAGTTTGCCACGCATGAGGGGGATGCGAGTCTGCTTTGGCGAGACATGCTCCAGCAAGCCTGGTTTTGGCACAGGCCTCAAACAAAATATGTGTGCTAAAGTTGGGGTCTTGTTTTACTCGGGGCTGCAAGGGAACTTCAAAGGAAACGTGGAGCCAGACTTTTGCCCTGAGAATAGGCATTGACATGCACGTATGGTTTTGTTCTGAAAATGTCAACCAAAACGATCCGCCTTTGTGGCGTGAACAACGAAACATCCTACAACGTTGTCCGTGGAGAGCAAGTGCCACAGAAGCCAGAAGTACAGATGCAGTGGTTTCGTAATTCTGTCTGGTCAAACTTGTTTCCGGTCAAATGTTCAGTTTAGCAACATGTCTCAACATCTTTACTCCGTTCCTTCTGGTGACCGAAGAAGAAGGATGCTCCTTCTGAACCCAATCGGAACCCCTTGGAGAATGCCAATCGCTGCTGATCATGTGTTGTTTCATTTTCGCCGTTCCCTTTGTAGCGCCCCGTTGAACGAGCTCCCCGTCTCTGTCTTTAATTGACTTTAACGCATCACGGTTTTGGCTCACGGGTTAGCCTTCTTCGCTGACATCACCGAAGGATTTGCTTTTGCGGTTCCATTTGTTGACCTCCAGTCTAGATGTGGCTTCCTGCCCGGAACCTGGTGCATTTTGTAAACGTTTACTCTCCCACTAATGGAACAGAAGGTCCCTGGAATCTGGAAGACAAAGACAGCCTAGAGCCTCCAGGACATTTGAGTTGCAAGCATTCAGAGAGCAGACAGGCGATCCTTCTACAGGGCTCCCCATATCTGCCTTCTTCCAAAGGCTTCCAAATGGATGTCCACCTGGGAGGGTGATTTTGAACATTCCCTTTTTGTGTCGCCGCTTTGGCGGGTCGACTGATGGAATTCTTGACTTCGTGGAGCTTGCTGGCTCCGAGGAAAAACAGTCGGCTTTTGACCAACCGAGTTTTTTTCCTTCAGACACATGAGGAGAGGCGACACTTGGCAGACCTATGCAGCAGGAAGTCCTCGTGTCTACATTTTTATACATATATATATATTATACATATGTAACTCTGTACGTAGAGGGGGAGAGATGTTACATTCTTACTTGCGTGAAGCGGACCAAAACCTGCCAGGCTATTTGACGGAGACCTACGGCCCCAAGCGCCTGCTGGTCCAGATGCTGTACTTGGAAGCCGTGGCCGCGTTGGCGACCTCTGGTGTGCCAGGGGCCACGGCCAAGTGTCCGACGTTTTGGAGTTCTTTGCCCTCCAAATAGCGGTGGTTGGTGGCCATTGAACCTTCAAGCAAATGATTTCCACCAAAGGGTCCCTTGAGAGTGGTTGGTGGATTTTTCCATGCAAATGATCTCCAAAGCGTCCCTAATCCCAAGTGCCAAACTAGGGAGGTGGAACTAATCATTGTGAGTCAATTAGTAGTGGGGGTGCACAAGCGATTCCTGGCCCTGATTCTTGATTGTGGCAGCTTGGGGATTGGTTCCCTTGCACGTCGTCTTCAAACATCCCCCAATGGAAACTCAACTGTCACATGGGGCCAAAAAAACAATGCAACCACCCAGAATTGCGGAATCTAAAATGGCCTCCAACTTGATTTCTGTAACTGGGGTTGGTCCAACTTTGTTGGTGAAACATATTTGAGCTCTTCTTTTACCAAAGCATTCCCTTTCCAAAAACCCCAGCTTGTTCTCTGTTTTCCCAAACTCAGTGAAAGACGCAGTTCCCACGTTTTGTCCTGGGACTTTGGGCCATCGCACCGAGGGGGGGGCCCTGGCAGCTGGCGGGCGGGCGCTTTGTCAGCGGCCTCGCCATCGGCGCCGCGGTGCCGCCCATCTTTGGCCTTGCCGAGGAAGCCGAAAGGTACCACGCGCAATGGACAAGAATGTAGTTGCCGGAAAAAACAAAACAACAAAATGGACAAGTGTGTGTCAAAGAAGGTTGTTGCAATAGAAATTGCATCAATCCTCTGAGAGGTTGAGGTGGCGAGGGATCAGGACTGCCCCCCACTGGCTTCTATTACTTATCAGCTCAGCCTTTCCCAAATGCAGGCTGGATGGTTTGTTTGGGGGCGTCCCCACAGGAGAGGTGATTCTGAACAGATTCCATCTACGTATCCGCAGGAGCTGCTCTTTCCACGGCAGAGGCGCTTGCGCAGCCCCTTGGTGGCACCTCAGAGAACACCCGCTGTAAATGTCGTCCAAGCTTGAATTTGACAAACTGCGATCATTGAGACGCAGGAGTTGTCGGATTGTTCTTCCACCAAATAGTGGGCGTTCCCTCGTGAAACACTTACGCGTTTAGCCTGCTTTAACGTATGACATGTTGACCTTTGTGTAGGCTCCACACCTTGAATTTCCGGGGCATTTTGCCAAGTCCGTGTGTAGGCCGGTTCCCTTTTGCGGAGTTCTCTTCAAGTTTCTTTCTTGGTGACATGGGGCGATCCTGTTGGGCGGATGCTGGGCCGTGAAGACAGGCAATAGGAATCCAGCAGGGCGCAAGCACTTTACTTGCAATGCCCCCTCGGGCATCAGCGTGTGAAACCAAATAGCAAGCCGATTATCTTGGTCAATGTTCAACCCTAAACTTCAGATTTGAAGCTTTCATTGTTCATCATTTTACTCAAGGGCAAAGGCGTTAGTGTCCCGAACGTTGACCCAATTGTTGAAATGCCCGTGAACATTCCTGTCAGTACCCTTGCCCCCCCCCCCCCACCCCCCACCCCCTCACCCCCCCCCCTTCTCTGGCTTCACAGGACGGCTCCAGGATTGAAACAGAGTCGAAACCACGGCGGACAATCTTGGATTGGACCACCTACCTTTCCTACCTACTTTCCCTACTTTCCCAGGCTTGAGCCTCATTGCCTCCAGCTTCATCTTCGGGAGTTTGCTGGTCTCCCTTCTGGCCTGGCTCTGCCTCGCCAACAACCTGGGCTGGCGCGTATTCTACGCCTGCACCGGTGGGGCCCGGGGGAGGGAACACCTAAAAATGGATTCTGAATAATCTGTCTGACAAGCTGCACAAGAAGAAGGACCTTTGTATACATTGCTGGCAACGTCACTCTATCACCCACAAGCAGGGGCCAGAAACTCTACATGCCCTGTTTCTCATGGTAGATGTTCAAAGCGCAGGTCCAACACCACGTGTTGTTTGGTCAGGGGTTGACACGATACTTCAAAAAGCGAACTGGTGAAGTAGGGCAGGAGCTTTCGGGATCCACTCACTGGCTGAGCTTTAGCGAGGTTTTGGCCCGCAGGCGTTGTGCCGATGCTGAACGCCGCGTTGGTGAGCAGCTGGGTCCCCGAGTCCCCGAGTTTTCTGCAGCGACAGGCGCAACGTCATGGAGTCGGGGGACACAACTTGCAAGACAATGTCTGCCTTTTGGCGCGTTCACTTGGGTAAAACGAGCTCACTATGAGGGTCCCTTGCCCGACACTACGCGAGGATCCCGTATCTCAGATTCTCACTCCCTGAGTTCATGGACTTTATACTTTTTGGAAAGACTGGCCAGTCCACTCAGGGAGGGAACTTCCACAGCCGCTGCAGAACCCTCTCCCGCCCTCCAAGCCGATGTGATGTGCCTTAACAAACAGACCCTTCACCACCTTCCACCCATTTATTTCCCAACAAAACTGATGAGTTGACAACCAGGAGAGGAGAAGTCGATTCTGTGCACGACTTCGTTGTTCTTGGCGTATACATGCTTAAAGTGCTTGGCTTGTTTGAGTTGTTTCAGTTTTTAGAGGGGGGTGTGCGTACAAAGTCCGTTGCCGACAGGTTTGGTGGGGAGGATGTTTCATTTTACCAGTTGCTAAGAGTGAAGCGACCGCATGTCACGTAACGGCGCCAAGTTCTAATCATGGAATATGTTTGACGCGTGTTGCAATGTGTTCGACTGCTTGTCGTATGTTTTTGGAAGATGCGCAAGCTTCGTCACTTACGTGGTTCTCACTGTTCAAAGGGCACACTGGTCATGTGGAGGTCCAATTCAAATACAGCAAAGCGCCCAAGTTGACTTGATCGCACACGTTCTTATTCAAGTCTTGTCACAGACAAAGAAAGCGTGGACAGAGGGTGAAGGACACATACACGGCATACACCCGCCACCAACCGCCCCTTGGATGTTTCTTATTTTTAGCTTTTCTCCGGGCTAAGAAGCGACTCCGCCAGGGCCGGCGTGCGGAGCTGGTGCTGGAGTTGCGACGCCTGGCGCCAAACGGCGCCTTCGACGTCGCGGGCATGGCGGGCGGCGCTTTCAAAGTGGCCCAGGCAAGGGTGGGCGCGAACACATACGAACACATACGAACGCTTGCGAACGTAAATTCAACGACTTCTGGTCACGTCTTAATTAAACGGGAACCCTTCTACTGCGCATTCGCGAAAGTAGCGGGGAGGTTGGGGCCCCCCATGATGATCCAGAAAGTGATGATTCAATTAGGGGCAACAATCTTAAAGTTGCGATCGCAAAAGATCCAAAAATTGTGGGGGGGGGGTTGGGGGGGGGGGTTGGGGGGGGGGGGCTGCCGCACGATGATCGAAAAAGTGATGATTCAAGTGGGGGCAAAAAATCTACAAAGCAGTGGGGGGTTGGGGGGGGGGCGCCCCCTTGATGATCGAACAAGTGAGGATTCAAGTAGGGGCGCATTTTAATCGAAAAGGGGGTGGCGGGGGGCAGGAGGAACTGGCGACGCTGAGGATGCAGGAAGCCAAAGCCAAAAACCGACTGGGAAAGCAGAGGATGCAAAAAGCCAAAGCCAGAAAGCCGCCAAAAGCCACAAAGCCAAAAAGCCGGAGAGAAACTGGTAATGCAGAGGATGCGAAAAGCCAAAGCCGCAAAAGCCGCATACACTCAATACAAAGCCGCAGAAGCCAAACAGAGACGCCACAAAAGCCACATATAAACCCACGTAAAAGCCACAACGCTGAAAAACAAAAATCCTACAAAAAAGGAAAAAAATCCGAAAAACAATGGCCCTCCTTTAAGGAATACATGAACCACGGTCAAACTTACTCGATTGCCATGGGAGGATGAGTGAGCCCCCTGGTTTTTGGGGAAAGGATCCTCCTTTTCCACAGCATCACCCCGAAAGCCAACTCGCTTTGCCAAATCCTAGAGGAAATCGAGTTGGACTCAGAGAGTTCCGACCACGAATCCAGTTCATGCGCTTCAATCAGAGAAGTAACACAAAACGGTCAGACAAATCGGGGAATTTCGGGTAAGGCCAAAGGAAGGTCCGAAAGGAAAGGGTGTCAAAATAGGAGGACTTTCAGAAACCTACCCTCAACCCCAAAAAGGTACCCTCAAAAAATGCATGTTTCATTGACACCCTTTGAACCTGCAATTTGGAACGTGCCTGTGCGGGATCGTAGCTCGTACCATGTCAGACGTTGTTTTGCTGCGCAGGCGCAGTGTTTTGTCAAGGTTCACGTTTCCGGTGCAAATCCTTTGTGATTCGCGTTTCAGGGGCGTCGTTTTGAGGTGTTTTGCTTGCAAGCGTTTCCTCGAATTTCGCCGGCCCTGTCGTACAATCGGCTCGCTTTCACGACATGAGATTTGCAAGAAAATCTGTCGAATCATTCTGGCGCTACAGTCCCGCGCTAGTTTTCCGCGTGCGATGCGAGAGTGTCAAATTCCGATTTCGTGGTAGGCGCAGCATTTTGAGCGTTTTGTGTGTGGCTGTAATGCGATTTTTCGTGACAGGCGCAACACTTTAGAGCTTTGCGTGCAGATTTCGTGGCAGACGCAGCACTTTAGAGCTTTGCGTGCAGATTCCGTGGCAGGCGCGGTACTTTCCAGCTTGCGTGCAGATTTCGTGGCAGGCGCAGCACGTTGATGGGTCGAGTCGCTCTCGCTGTGGCGCGGTGCACATTTTGAGATCGCAAAGTGAACCCTTTGTGTGTGTCCGCTTTGGGTGGGTCGAGTCGCTCTCGCTGTGGCGCGGCTCACATTGTGAGATTGCAAAGTGAACCCTCTGCGCACTTTGGGCGGGTCGAGTCGCTCTCGCTGTGGCGCAGTGCACATTTTGAGATCGCACAGTGGATGGGCTGAATCGCGAAGTCGTGACGAAACACGTGACGAGATGCGAGTATAGGGTCGTGGCTAGAAACATGAGAAAGACCACGAATGACAGGACGGGAGATGTGACGGAGTCGTGACGTGAGGCGCGTCGAGAGGCATGTGATCAGAGATGTGATAAAAACAGTTACGACGAGAGACGGGAAAAGAGTTGTTACGACGGACGTGACAAAGGACGTGACCAAAGACGTGACAAGAGACGTGACCAGGATGTGACAAGAGGCGAGCCGTGACGAGAGACGTGACGAGGATCGTGACGCGAGAGGTTACCAGAGACGGGACGGCAAATAAGACAAGAGACGTGTGAGAAGAGACGTGGCGAGGGTCGTGACAAGAGACGCACATTTTGAGATCGCACAGTGAAACTTTGGACGGGTTGAATCGCTTTCGCCGTGATGCGGAGCACATTTTATGATCGCGAAGTCGTGACGAAACACGTGACGAGAGAAATGCGAGTAGGGTCGTGGCTAGAGACATGAGAAATTTCTTGCCCCTAATTGAATCATCAGTTTTTCGATCATCATGGAGGGGCTGCCGCCCCCCGAACCCCCCCGGCTACTTTTTAGATTTTTTGCCCCCAGCTGAATCATCATTTTCTTGATCATCATGGGGGGGCTGCCACCCCCCCCAACCCCCCTGCTTTTTTTTGGATTTTTGGCCCCTATGTAATCATCACTTTTTTGATCATCATGGGTTGCCGCCCCCCCCCCCCCAACCCCCCCCCTACTTTTTTAACTTGGTTGCCCCTAATCAAATCATCGCTTTTTCGATCATCATGGGGCGGGCTGCCGCCCCCCCCCCAACCCCCCCGGTACTTGGTGGACTTTGGCAGGGGTTAAAATGCAGCCCTAACTGAATCACCACTTTTTCGAACATCGCCCCCCCCCCCCCCCCACGACTTTTTAGGTGTTTTGCGGGGGATTAAATTGCACCAGTATTTGAATTCTCATTTTTACCATCATGAGAGGGACCCCGCTTCTTAACATACATACATACATACATACATACATACATACATACATACATACATACATACATACATAAATGCCTGCCTACCTTGCCGGAGAGGAATTGATGATGCTGAGGATGTAGGAAACCCTCGATTTGCTGTTGATGCTGGGGATGTTGGCTGGACATGTGGGGGATGTTGAAAACGATGCTGATGATGTTGACAGGCTAGTGTAAAATACGTATCCCCCCCCCGAAAAAAAAAAACTGTCATTACAAGGAAAGGAATTTCCTTTTCGGCCTCGGGGGGACTTTCCTTGCCCGAAACCTCTCCATGAAGTTGTCAAAGGGAGGTGGGGGCCGATTGTTTTTCAATCCTGTCTGTTTCTGCTGTTGACCACCCCTCGAGGCGCAAATCCTAAATGCTAAGTTTGGCGTCTAGGTTTTAAAAGCTATTGATGTACAAACAACAAAATATCTTTGTTTGTTGGGGTGTGCTGCCGTGGCAGGTACCAAACAACATTTTCTAAAATATCCAAAATCAATAAGTTTTTTCTTCAAATCGAGAACCCTCAAAATTGCCTGCTTCCTTTTGTTGCCTGTGTAAAACCATCCAAAAGGGGTTACCTCCTTTTTGGAGGTCACCTCCCCCCGTATGTTCTTTTTGTTGGAAGGCTCAACCATTGCCGTTCCATGGCCATTCAAAGGATACACTGGCGCAAAGCTTGGGCCGGGGAAAAGAAGTCAGGACTCTTGGATACTTGCACCACAGCCATGCGACCTTCTGAAGTCCTTGGGACAGGGTCCAAAACAAGGAACCTTCTGCCGTTCCCCCCAGAATGGTTATAGTCTTTCTTTTGGAAGAAACACCAAGGATTGTTGAAACAATGATTGGTGAACATAAATTCCAATGCAAATGATGTCCATGGGTCCAGCCAATTCAACTTCACACTTACCCAAGTACCAATTTGTTTCATTGTACTTGGGCAGTTTGGTTTTCCAGGTCAATACCGTCTTCCGGATTCCGGCGCTTTTGCGCATGCCAGGAGGCCAATCACCTGCCGAGTGAGGAGGTTCCAGGCTCATGGGGAGGTTCTTGTGGAACGGACATTGCTGGGCCCCTATCAGTTGTGCAGGTTGGGGGTTTGGGTAGGCCCCTATCGGTTTCCGGTGGCCAAATTGTGGGCTATGGTCAATTTGGGAAGGACATCGGTGGACCCACGTTTCTCCCACAATCTGGGCTCCGGGATTTGTGAGCCTAACAGAAAATGGGATCCCAATTGAAGACAAGCCACGTGAGCATACGGAGCGCTGGCTCGCAACCGACGCATCGAAGTAGCCGTGGCGATCGAGGGTCCTTGAGGGCCATTGGAGGATGCGGGGGTTGGTGGGGTCATGACCTTATTTACACGCTGACGCGACACAGCCGGCCACCGGGCACCTTGCCCTGCCTGTTCTGTCACTTCCCTGTCCTTTAATTCGGATGAGATGCCGAGATTTGAACCTCACTTCCTTTGCGCGTCTTTCCTGCAACTTTGAGAGTTTCCTGGCATTTCCCTTTGCTTCCTGTGCGTTTGAGCTCCCTGCACTTCCTTGAGCGCCGTGTCAGTCGCACTCCTCCCCCCTGTAAGCACCCCAGCGCGAAGTTTTGTGCAAACTGCTCGAAAGCTAAAACCACAGAAGCGCGCCAACACGCTAAACCCACATGCGCAGGTTGAAGCAGCATGCACGCGCTAGAACGGAAACAGGGCGGAAGTTGCCCCCAGGGCGCTTCTCAGTCATGTGCCTCTGCAGCCATGGAGAAGAAGAAGCAGGAGTCGCGATTGCAAACGCGCTCGAAAGGGAGGAGGCGGCAAGTTGCCCACAGGGCGCTTCTCAGTCATATACCGCTTCAGCCATGGAGAAAAGGCGATGGTCGCGCCAGCCAGGGAGTGCGCATGGTGTCAGAGCCGAAAAGGCCGCAGTTGCTTCCGTTGGATGTTTCCCGCCCTGTCACTTCATTTTCCTGCATTTGAAGTGTCATCTGTTTCACTGCCCTTCAGTCGCTACTCGTCATCTACCGGAAAGTTGCCCGCAGGGTGCTTCCAAGTCGAAAAAGAAGTGGAAGGAGGGCGGGGGCCAGCCCGTCAGGCCCGCTCCTGCACTTCCAGTCCCTGCACTTCCTTGCCTTTCCTTTTACTTGAGCCCCGTCCAGGTACTTTGTTTTTTTAGTTGCCATCAATCATCCACAATTGCCCATTCATCTTCCATCCATTTTCCACCAGTTCCATCCCTTCCATACATTCTTATGCATCCATTCTCCAACACTGTTCCACCGGCTTCCACAAGCTGCCAGCAGTGTCGCCATGCATGTTGCAAGAGCAGTTTGGCAGTTGTAAGGGAAGCCGAGTGAAGCTAAGGGACGCCAGACAGCACAAGCAGATTGATCACCCCGCATCAATTGACCGCGCGCTGCACAGCGTCGCAAGGCATTTTGCAAGCGCAGTTTGGCAGTTTTAAGGGAGGCCGAGTGAAGCCAAGGGAGCACCCGAAAATGTTCGTTGCACAAGCAGCAGCATGTTTCACATAGCAGCCACCAATAATGTTCATCGTGCTTGCAGCAACATGTTTCACGCGGCAGCTCTTGATGACGTTCGCCGCAGAAGCAGCAACATTTGTCGCGCAGCAGCTTTCAAAAACATTCGTCGCATCAGCAGCAACATGTGTCACACAGCAGCTTCTGAAAACGTTAGTCGCTCAAGCAGCAACATGTGTCACGCAACAGCCACGTCGGACTAGCAGCAATCACACAACAGATTCGTCGCACTATCTGCGATGGAGCTTTTTTTTGTCGCAAAGCCTTGCAGGCTATTTACAAGGGACAAAAAAGCAACAGTAGGAAGCAAGGTCCACTTCAGTAACAAGCCCTTGGCTTGGCGCCAGGTAGTTGGAAACCAGCTCTGCGGGCAAGCCAACCCTCGAACCGTTTCAGCCAAGCAAAGCGCCGCAAACAAACCTGTCGTTGAGGGTTGTTTGAATAGTCTGGTTTCACCTGAACGTGGCGCGACTCTTTCACTGTAAGACACGAAAAAAAGAATATGAAAACACCTTGGGAATGTGACATGTTGCGCATTATTACTCACAAAGGCAGGGCCGACTTGCGGTGCTTCTCTCGCAGCAGTTGCAGCTCGCAGCTCAGACTTGTCCAAACTGTTAGACAGCTGGGGCCGCGCCCGAAACACGCCAACAGGCTTCAGCCACATGAGTCAAGCATCACGCACGGTCTAGCGCCGGAAGAAGGGCCCGCGGCGGACAAGGAGCTGCAGGCTGGTGACAGTTGCCCATGGGGCGCTGGTAAGTGATTTAGCAGCGCATGGCAAGTGGGGCTGGGCACAGAGCCGGGGGTGTAGTCGTGGCAGTTCCTGGAGATGGCTGGTGCCTCTTCCATGCGGTGGCAAGGTACGGGGCCAGGCCTGGAGCAGGTGCTAGGCCGCGCTGGTGTCTGCGTGCTGCAGCGGAGATCTACTTGCAGGCGCTAGAGTGGCTGTGGGCGGCGCTGGCTGGACCAGATGCCGCAGCAACTGAAGCAGCTTGCGTGCCAGAAACGGAGGCGGAGTTGGAGCGACACCGAGACTTCGTTCGACGGCGCGGTGGCGTGGAGGCACAGGTTCCAGACGCCAAGCTGGTGCTGTGGAGTAAGGTGCTGGCTGTGGTGGAGCAGCCTAACGGTCTGGACTCCTTCCATCATGGGACCAGCGCAGAATTGTGGGCGCTCACCCAGCAGTTCGACTTCGATGCTATAGTATGGAGCGGCGTCCCTGACGCGAACTACTGGGCACGAACTCAGACTCGTGTCACGGACGAAGAATGCCGGACGGCAGTGGCTCGGCTCCCGACCGTGCTGCAGCTGCTGCACCGAGAGATCGGCAACGTGGGGCACTATGATCTGCTCGGGACCGATGCCGTGTCTCCGCAGCCGTTTGCGCGGACACCTTGGGTGAGGCGGTGGGCCGAAGGCGGCAGTGAAGCCATGTGGGAAGTGCTAGGCATGCCAAGGCGGCCCGAGCGCATCCATGCTCCAATTCCTGAAGCGGAGGCGGACGTCTGGTCCGAGCCAGAAACCAACTGTGACGTGGTCTTGTCAGACAAAAACTCTGACAAAATAGACATGGAAACCGATAGTGTGCCAAGGCGGCCCGAGCGCATCCATGCTCCAATTCCTGAAGCGGAGGCGGACGTCTGGTCCGAGCCAGAAACCAACAGTGACGTGCCCTTGTCAGACAAAAACTCTGGCGTGGCCTTGGTGTGCGCCTGTTGCGCGGGAGTGCAGCCTGGAGGTCCTAATGGCAACGTAGGATACGTGTCAGTGCGCGAGCTGTTCACAACCGTGTCAGCCGAGAGCTTTGCCGCGAACTGGAGCTTGACAGAGTACATTCGCAAGTACGGCGAGCACGCGGCCGTGAGAGATCGGCTTCCGGAGCAGGATTGGCAGCTGTCGCTGCCGCCCGATCTGTTTGAGGGGCAGCGAATTCTGTGCTGCCCAGAAGACCGCGTGTGTGCCGCGTGTCCAGCCACGCAAGAGCAACTGTGCGCTGAGTGCAAGCTGCCACTGTGCCGGACATGCTGGAGCCGGTTGCGGCAGAGCACGTGCCCGCAAGTCCCGCAAGCTCTTGCCAATGACAACTGGTACGGGTATCCTCTGAATTTCTTATATCAAGAAAAGGTGCGGTGGATTGAGGCCGCGGCAGCATGTCCCGTGTGGACGTCCGTGGTGAGTTTCTATATAGAGGAAGATCGCGGGCACCTGATGGAGGAGGAGCTGCATCGCAGCGACTTCCGCGTGGCCGTGCGAGGCAATGTTAGCTCCTTCAGCATGCCTTGGGAGGAGATCTACGGCAGTCTCCACCGCTTGGGGGCGGAGGCTGTGCTGCATCAGCTGCCGCACGCAGTCCCGGTGCTCAACACCATGATGAAGTTGACAATCAAGGGCATGCGGCACGCCGAGATCGTGGAGTGGGTGGCTGGTGCAAAGCTGCGCCCGTGGATCGTCGTGAGGTTGTTGGAGCACCTGATCGACAGCGGACATCCCATGTGTGAGGCATGGGCAGACAAAGCCGCGCTCAAAGAAAGCTTGAAGCAGCGGGTGTTCAGCAGGTACGGCAAAGACGAAATGTCGCCGGTGACCATGGAGGCCGCCCCGATGGCGCCGGAGGAAGCCGACCAAAGCGGCGGAGGGCAGAAAAAGCATGCCACACCTGAAGCGGCCAGCGTGCATGAAGTCAACGGCGAGGCCTTTGCTGGCATAGTGCGGCCGCACGTGTTGTCGTCCGACTACACTAGCTCCCAGGTGCACGACGTAGACGTGCAAGAAATTGTGCAGCTAGCCAAGCTCACCGCGCACGTGAAGGTGCAAACCGGGCAAAGCTTTTGGGACCAGTGGCAAAATCGATTCGTCAGCTGGGCGTACCCTTTCAGCCTGCCCGCGCCAGTGGGCGGTCCGGATTTCCCGTCCAAGTCGCGGGACCGCAGGGGCAGTGAGGCTGCCGTGCTCACGCCCTTTGCATACATGCAATCGCTGGCCCGGCGCGTGGAGAGCTCCATCCGCAACTCCTGGGATCTAGTGCCCGGGGTGCGCCGCATCACGATGAAGTGGCATTCGGTGTGGCACTCCGACCTGTGGCGTCGGCTCAAAGGCAAGCGGGCCGAGCTGAAGGAAACTCCCGATCAGGCATGGGTGGAAGCCGCGCAAGGCCTGTACAAAAAGTTGCAGAAAGGGGTGTACACCGTGCGCCGCAATGTGTGCAAGCCCATCAACTACGATGCGCGGAAGTTGTGGTACGCCAAAGACTTGACGCTGCCTGAGCAGGAGCTGCTGCGGGAAGTGCGGCACACGCAGCAGACCTTGCCGGGGACGGTGGAAGTCCGTCGCCGCATCGGCGGCCCGGGTGGAACTAGGAGAGCCGCTGTTCCTGACATTGTCGCCCACCACGCGGCACAACGGCCTCTGCCTCAAGTTCTCGCGGTATCGCCGTGCGGACCCGGCAGCAACAGGCATGTCCGGGCCATGGTTTGCACGAGACTCGCCTCAAGTATGGGACACG